TATATAGATATATAGATATATATGCACACACTTTGGTTCAGGAGCTCAATTCTCTCCATGATTCTGGTCACAAACCAAACTGGAGAAGAACTAAATCAAATTTCCCCATAAGATCAACATTGAACCTAACCATTGAATTTGATTCAGTTTTCATTCAACTTGGTTTGTGACCAGAACTGTGGAAAGAATAAAATTTGTGAACCGAAATATATCTGTCTATATCTCTATATCTATCTATCTATCTATCTATCTATCTATCTATCATCTATCTGTCTATCTATCTATCTGTCTATCTGTCTATCTATCTATCTATCTGTCTACACAAATATAACTTCAGGAGTTTCCATTGATTTATCCCAAAGTTATAAAAGTATAACCTGACTCTGGAGTGCAAATTCTACAGACCGTTAGTCCAGGCTCCAGTTGCCCTCTCATGGGAGGCCAGCTGAATGAACCTCTTGCTTCTTGCAGTCAGGATGCTCTTTTTCAGTCTTTTTTCTAAGGGCTAAATTCTTAAACTAAGAATTGACCATCTTTGATTATCTTTTGCAGTATGATTATCAAGGGGACACTTATTAATGAACTTCTTAATAGCTGTTTGGAAACAGAAGTTTAACTCTGGTTTTCTTGTTTATGTTGCTTTTGTGTATCTCAACAAAAACTCAAAAGAGACTGTAAGAACCTATTTTATGGGTGGAGGAGGAATCCACCATCTTTTTTTTTTCATTAAGTTTATTGGTACATTTTAGGTATACAGTATGATGACATTCATCATTGGGAATTTGTTCCTTTACATAATATATCTTGGTTCTTATTTTTTCCCTATTCCCCTTCAACCCTTCCATCCCTCCCTATTTACAAAGACTTTGTTCTATTTTTTCCTTTTCTCATTTTTTTCCCCTTGTTTGCTTTCCCCTACTCCTCCCACTTTCTCCTCTCCTTTAGGCCTTTTCTTCCTGTTTCACATGAACTATTATACATTTTTATTCTTATTCACACTTTTAGTTTCTCACACTAGAGAAACTTCAGTATTTACACATGTGTGTCCTATTCATTTCACTGAAGAGTATGGCCTCAATGTCCATCCATTTAGCTATAAATAACTACTTTCTCATTCTTTATGGCTAAGTAGTACTCCATTTCATAAAAAAACCACATCTTTATCCAGACTCCAGTTGATAGGCAATTGGGCTGTTTCCAAGCTTTAGCTGTTACAAACTGTAGCGCTTTAAACATGGGTGCACATATATCACTGTGGTATGATTCTTTTAATTATTTTGGAAAGATACCCAGCATGGGAATAGCTGGGTCCAGTGAGACCTCTAATCCTAGTTTTTTGAGGTATCTCCATATTAATTTCCAATAACAGTGGTCGCACCAGTCTGCACTCCCACCAACAATGGAGCAGGGTTCCTTTCTCCCCACACCCCCGCCAGCATTTGTTATTTGTTGATTTCTTGATAGCAGCCATTCTTTCTAGGTTG